TTCCTTGTTAGGATGCATTTTAAATGGTCTTGGTTCCTGTGTAATATTACCATCAGCAGAGTTCACTAAAGGGGAGGGAGCAATTTGCAATAACCGCGCACATGCTTGGAACCAGATTAGGGGTGTGCTTTACCACAGTGAAATTTGGTGTGTTTGTGTGGGGGGGGGTGCGTCTGCTTGTGCATGTGCGTGTGTTTGCATGTGCCTGCATGTGTGTGTGCACTGTAATATATGAAGTACATATATAACTTGCAATGGTTTTACTTTTGATTGTATATTACATACAGAAGTTTTAGGATTGTTTTGTTTCTTTGGCTTGATGGAGAATAAACTGAGGGCATCTTTGCATGGCAGGTAAACTCTCCACAACTGATCAACATCTCTAGCTCAAAGGTTTTCTTTTCTCAAACTCCTAATCTTGTACCTAAACTCTAGAGTACACCACATACTGCCCTTGTTTCCTTACCCTCTCAGAGTTATTGAAGGAAAAGGGTTTGGCTAATAAAACAGTTGCATATTGGATGCATAAAGCAGGAGTTATTGTTTCCACAGTAAATATTCTTCATCCTACAGTTCATAGACAGGCCAGATTGGGGCCCCTGACTTTTACAAGAGGTTTTGTGGCTGGTATAATCGAATGAAAAAAAAATCTATTCTAGCTATGTCACCCAGAGATTGAACTGTTGGATCTTTGTCGGAGTGAAAGCTTGTGTCCACACAAAACCATTCATTCCATTGTTCATAGCAGCTTTATTTGTACTAGCTAGCCAAAATCTGGAAACCAAAATGCTCAGCTGGTGACTGGGCAACAAAACAGTGGTACACCCACACAATGGTATAGCAAACAGCAGTGCTAGTAGGACTAGAGGTTTCATCTCTTCTTTATTAACTGTAGTCCTGGGTAATCAAACTTAGGGTCTCACACACGATGGGCAAGCAATTTGACCACATGCTGCATTCCTAAAGAATGGAATTTTGACATACACCATCAAGCATGGAGAATTAAGCACATGGTGATGAGCAGAAAAGGCCAGCACCGAACATTTTTATATGACATTCTTGAAATGAATACAGAAATTAAAACTAGCAGGAGTCAGAGTTTCCCAATGAAACAGATGTAACACTTGGTTAAAGTGGTGCTTGCATGAACTTGCACATAAGATACAGGGACAGAAAGCTCTAAACACCCATTATAACAGGATCAATATACCGCTATTGGTGTATTGTTATTGTATAACTGAAGGCAAACTATCAGGGGAACTAACTCGATGAAGAATGCCCTAAAGGTTCAGATTCTTCTGTATCTATAATGGTCTGGAAACAAAAATTTCACACACACACACACACACACACACACACACACACCCCTACATCAGACCTTGTGCTCCTTCTGGGTTCCAGTGGATAAGATGGAACGGAAGTGGTTTGAAAACAGCATGCTGGAAACCCTACATAGATGTTCTAACTTTATTGGCAACAATATAAGGGAGGAAAATCCGCAAACCCGAGGAGAGGAAAATAGTAGCTAGCCCCATTGGAACCACGACATGGGGAGTATAGAAGCATTGCTATCTGGTCGTCCTTGCTGAGGAGCATCCTTTCCCAGAATGCCTCAGGGAGGATGCCAAAACTACTAAAGGATGGCTACATTTGTGGGTAGATTCGAATCGCGATCTGGCTGTACAATTGTTACTAGGTTGGACATCATTGCTCCTCCTGACCATGCTCCCAAAAAGATGATGCTCATGATCCCATAGGTTTGGATCTTCCTTCTTGTTAGGATGACAGTGTCAGAGTCATTCTGTCCATTCGTGGAAAACATGTTAAAACATCCTTTTGTTTTTCCGCTGCCACTGTGTTTTGTTCTCTCTTTTCGGTATGGTGTCTTGCACAAGATGGGGCTGGGTGGTATGGGGATTGAGTGTCAAGTTACTGAGGTCTAGTGTTAGCATTTCCCAGGAGGATGACTGAGAGATTGCCTCTGTCCCAGTTCCCGCAGAGACCCCAGATGTGTTCCCCACACACTTCTGGCAGGGGTGGCATTCACATCTGAACATCGCCTCATCTGGATCTTGTGGGGAAGAGGATTTCTTTTTCTTGTCAGCTTTGCGAGGTAACAGAAACCTGACGTGTTTCTTTTTCTTGAATTCAACTGTCTTCAGTTTCTTTTGAGGTGATTTTGAACTCTCTTGATGTTGCTCTTCATCCATCCTTTCTAAGGGAAAAAAAAACACATGAGAAACACAAAGGGTCTATTGAAAACACCTCATGCTGTACAAACTCCTGGAACACCCACAGACACTCAGACACACAGACACACATGTTGGAAGTTGCCTCTCATGGTTTCAGAGATGGAAACCTTAGTTTGAAACTGCTTCCTGCAGCTGTTTTTGGCTTTGTTGTGTTTTCTTTTGTTTTGTTTTTTGATTTTTTTGCTTTGCTTTGTTTTCGGTGCCAACTCACCAACAAGCAAAGGATGCGTGCACTCTTTGAATTTGGAATATCTGTTTTAGCGAGGCTTTGCTTGTAGTTTTGAGTATGTATGCCATGAGAAACCCCAGGACAGAATTCCTGCAAGTGGAGTGCACAGATCATTGTTCCTTAGTGTTCAGATACTGGTGTCTTTTGAAACAAAGAGTCCCTTCTTTAATGTTTCTTTTAAGTCCTTACTCCCTCTACATAATGTGATTGAAGGCAGTCCTGTCTAACAGGGCACTCCCTGGCATGATGTGTGTTCTATATGCCCCATAGCTTAGGCTGTGCTTCCTTAATTCCCACCACTTGATCAGACAAGTGGAAAACAAGAGCAGAGCAAAATGAGCCCGAGGAGACCGTCACGGACACAGATCAAGGTTGGCCAATGATGATCCATGTCTTCCAACCTTTTATGGCATGGGTCAGACTCTGGAGAGCACGGAATGCCACAGTGACAACAGCAACACAAAGGTACAGACCATCTTTCAAGGCCTGTCCATGAAGCTAGTAGCTGTCATATCCCCAAGGACAGATGAATGGTCATGGGAGTAATTCAGCTGATGCACGTACTATTAGAGTTTATGTATTTATAATTCCTAGCAATTAATACAGACACACACACACACACATGCACACACAAATGCACACACATGCGTTTATGGGTCCTGTTTCAGGCCTCAGGCTCCAAGGGTTGATACATGGGAGAAAAGCTGAGAGCATTTCATCAGAGGGAAATTTGGCTTCTAGCAAGAATCTTGACCTCTCTGAACATGTTTGCTACCTGCAATAAGTAGGTACAGTTCCCATGACACAGGGCTCTGCACTGAAAGACTTTATTGGGAATGACAGCAGATTCCCTTTGAAATTAATGAAGTAACTAGTCTAGCCCAGGAGGATTTGTAGTCAAAATATGCTTATGCTACCTCCAACCCCCAGTTGAGGAGACATGAAAGCAATGCCACATAGAGGATTTGGTTGGATGAGGTAAGAAGGCTTCACAGAAGGAGATATACATCAGTATGACCATAAGGGAGATAGGTTTTTGGTTTGGTTGGTTTCGATTGTGGTTTGAGACAGGGTTTCTCTCTGTAGCCCAGGCTGTCCTCCAACTTTCTCTTGAGATGAGACTGTCCTTAAACTCAGAGATCTGCCTGCATCTGCCTCCTGAGTGCTAGGATTAAAGCCCTGTGCCACCATAGACTCGCCATTAAGGAGGTAGTTATGGAGACATGTCAAACATTGAAAATAAAAAAAAAAACATTGAAAATAGAACTCCCATATAGTGCAACCATAACACTCATGGCTACAATGCAAAGGAGTCAATGCTACCTTGCTACAGTGATACCAAAATAGCCTACTACAAACAGAACCCAAGTAATGGATTCAGTCCAGGTGCCAGTCAATGGACTAATTGATAGAAATGTGCTGGGCTTACAAAAGGGAGTTTTCTTTGGCTGCAAGGAAGGACAAAACTACATTGTTTGCAGGAAGAGAGTATATTTTGTATGAAACAAGCCAAATTTGGAAAGACAAATATCACATGTTTTCTCTCACATGTGAAAGCCATAAAAATGAAAAGCAAGCCAGAGCCAATTAAAAGGGACAGAAAATTAAGGGAAGGAACACAGGTCGAGCCTTGGAAAGTGTGAGGGAGAAATAACAGAACAGTAAAGGGTTTCAGAGTCTGTGGCAGAGCATCCAAAGACGCAGGGTGGGTGGGGAAGTCCCTGAAATGTTGGGAGGACAGATAAGTATAGAAGCAGTTGCAACTGGACAGTCTCCATTGTGGGAAGATGGCAGCATCCATACTGGCATGGTGCAGGAAGAGCTGAGAATATGGTCCAAGCATATTATATGTATATATGGAAATGTCATGATTAAACCCTCCCTTTGTATGAGTACTGCACAATAAGAAAAACTGCAAAAGACAAAGGCACTTATGGTGTGTAGCTGGGCTGTGTGTTCTTCAAGGTGCTTTCAGGACATCAGGTGTAACAAGTGATGTTTGACTTGTGAACAAGAAAGGTCAGAACAAGCTTTATCACCTTTGACTCTCAGTACCTAGCATATGATGTTTTATGGATCCTGTCTTAGGGGCTGGCTTACAGGTTCAGAGTTTCAGTCCATTATCATCAAGGTGGGAGAATGGCAGCATCCAGGCAGGCATGGTGTAGGAGGAGCTGAGAGATCTACGTCTTCATCTGAAGGCAGCTAATGGAAGACTGACTTCCAGGAAGATAGGAGGAGGGTCTTAAATCCCACACCCACAGTGACAGACCTACTCCAACAAGGCCACACCTACTCCAACAGGGCCACATCTTCTAATAGTGGCAATCCCTGGGCCGAGCATATGCAATCCATCACAGATTCTTAAAAGGAGTCTCCCAAACACCTGCAACTCCCAAAATCTTGCAAAGCAGAAGATCTCCACACAGAGTGACAAACTTTTCCAGATTCCCCTATATCCAACAGCATTTGCTACCCAGTTGCAACTGCTTCTATACTTACCTGTCTTCCCAAAATTTCAGGGACTTCCCCTGACCACTCTGCATCTTTGGATACCTGCCACAGACTCTGAATCCCTCCAACCTCTCCTGTACTCATTCCTTCTATGCCTTCTATTCCTCCAGATCCATTTTGACTAAGATCCTTCCCTGTCTTTAACTACCTGCTCAAAGAGGACCTTCTCAGGGAGACTGGCCATAGACACTCCATTTAAAAGAGCATGTGGTATGGGCAGGTGGTGGCGGCACACACCTTTGATCCCAGCACTACGAAGGCAGAGGCATGTGGATCTCTGTGTGTTCAAGGATACCTACTCTACAGAGCCAAATCCAGGATGGCCAGCACTGTGCAGAGAAAATGCCATGTCTCTGACAACAAGATGAATCAGAAACAGAGCAACAACAAGAACAAGAACAGAAGTGTAGGCCCTGACACTATAACTCATTAAGGGTACAGTACTGACACACACAGTTGTCAGTAACCAACAGCCTCAGAGTAGACATAAGCCTTATCCATAAGAGAGAAACAATGCCTAGCATTGGAAAGCTAGCCAAGATTCCACAGCCTGGTAAATTCATGAATCTTACAGGAGATACTGCAAGTGACATTTTCCTATAAACCAGCATAATCCCCCGACTACATTCTAAGTATTTTCCTATGTATCCACAGGTAAGTGTGGTCCTCAAACCTCACTAAAGGAAATTTCTCTTTGCAGTAGACAGAGATCAATATAGAAAACAACAACCAATCTGTGCACAGAGTTGTAAACCAGGTCCCATATGGTACATCTACAACAAAACTCCTGCACCTCAGGTTCAGGGACCACTGTGGAAGAAGGGGCAGAAACAGTGTAAAAGCCAGAGGATCAGGGAGTTAGCTCTGAGAGTCTGACTCCTAGGAATGTCAGCAGATAGACCCATAAGCTCTCAGTAACATGACTGGAAAACCATGAGATGACCAAGGACGGCATTAATAGACATGCTAACACAGAGAGGGTCCAGTGATGGGGACAGAAAAGTGTACTATGAGGTCATAACCCTGCATCAAGAACTACAGGAAACTAAGAAATGCCAAGACTAGGAGACCCAGCCTTGCCCAAGAAGATCCACATCATCTGGTTATGTATGCATTTAGGATTATGCATACATATGTGAATATGAAAATGGTTAATGACAAAGAGGCAATGAATTTGGAAGGCAGTGAAGAGGAATACATGGGAGGTGTTGTGGGGGGGAAGCAAGGGAAGAGGAAATGATGTAATTCTAATCTCAAAAAGTTTGTTTTTTTTAAAAAGTGAATACCCACAATTCACCACTGGCAACCCTGCTCTCCTGCTCTGCTTTCCTAACAGAAAACTCTGCTTCCTACTGCAAGGGTCATCAAAGCATGCGGATTCCTTGACCTCAATGCTGATTTCTGTAGACCACAGTGCCATATAAACTCAATGAGAGCGGGCATTTTCAACAGTGCCCTGTAGCATGTCCAGCTCTCAGTCTACTTGCTACCACACATACAACACTCACTAAAAGGACCTGGAGCAAAGGAAGGGCCTGCCATGCAGAAAGGGCTCCCTAAAGTACAGCTTTTGTTCCTATTTGCCCTCCTTCCTGTTGGGTGAAGCTGGAGAGTAGAGACTCAACACAGGAGCCCTGCATTCTGGTGTCCCACAGAGGGACAGCAGGGCTCTTATCAGGTCACTATCAGTCACACATGAGCTACACAGACCAGAGCCCTGGAAGTTACTCTCCATTGAGTAAGTATCCCTACTCTCTAGAGAGATACCCTGTAAGAAGTCACCATCCATATCATGCTGTTGGTAAAAAACTTGTTAACAAGCTCTGCTACAGAAAGCAGCAGCTAGGTCCCCTTGTCTCTTCTCCACAAGCACCTGGTCAAGCCTCAGGCTCACCTTTGAAGTGCTTCAAATTCCCAGTTGTCCAGATTTCAGCTGTAAATACTAGCAGCTGTGCTAATACCAGGAGAAACAGGGAAGGTTTCATGGCAACTGCATCTCTCTGGACTAACTACTGAGAGCAATGAGCATGGATTCCATGTCCACATACTCACCCACACTATAATACTTAAGACCCTAAAGTTAAGGGGAATGAAGTTCATTGAGAAACAGTGGCAATCCTGAGGGTATGGAGCCAGTCACAATGACTGCACAGGCTGGAACCATGGTAAGAGGAGCTCTGGAGCCCATGAACTCTCATTCCCATACTTCAGATGGAAAAT